TACCATGGATACGGAGTGGGTCAGCTTAAGGCTCGGTCACGCACAAAGAGGTGGATAAAGCACTTTTACTTGCTGTAGTATTATAGTGTTACAAAAAGATGCGCAGCCTACTCCGATTTCGGAACGGTGTGAACCTCCCAGTCAGCGCCGTCCGGGCCCTGGACTTTACCATGTGGTTTGTCATGTAAGAAAGGCCCTTGAGCGTTCGTGACACCACTCTCCAAAACCCCCTTCTTCTCGCCTGTCCGCAGGTATTCTAAGAAGGCGACCGAAGCGTCGATGTACTCCTTGAGAGCAACCTTGCTACTTAGCGTCGTACCGGTGACCATCTTCATGATCCAAGGAACGATAAGAGGCGCATCGGTACAAGACGGGTGAGCGGTACCCAACAAAGTCATGAACCACCCCTCCTTAACGTTATCGATGATATTCTTCACGGCTTCAAAGTGCCATCCTTCGTCGTAGAAAGCCGTCTGCTTTTCTGTCCATTCTCCGCTCTGCATGACCAGTATCGGTACGTCGATGTCCTTGTTCAGGGGTCCAGATCCCTTGCCGGGGTCTAAGGCAATACCACCATTGATAGGCATTGCCTTTGAGCCAGCAGATTTCAGTGCTTGCATAGCCCCCGTCGCGCCGTATGAGTGACCTCCGACTGTGACTGCTGACAGGTTGAGGCGGTTCTTGAAACCAGGCAAAGCATTCCGCGGTGAATCGGGCTTGAGGTTCACGACCGGTGCGTCACCTGCATTGAGTTGCGCAAAGAGTTTGATGGTTTCGCTGATCTCAGCTTCACGGAAGTTGAGCTGTGCGGCCTTGAGGTCGAGGTCGGTCATCGGCGGATCGGCTTCTAGGTCCTTGAGCTTCATGTGCCAGACTTTTCGCTCCGTACCATCAGGATGGTGGACGATGGTACCGGGTCCGCTACCGTCACGGTGTTCGATGGCAGCGACTACGTAGCCGTGGCTTGCAATGCTTCCCAGGTAGTGTGCATAACTCTGGCTCATTCCTGCCATGCCATGCGTAAAGACAACGCAGGGCAAACTTCCAAGACCGTCGCCTCGTTTTAACTCTTTATGTTCTTGCTCTGCTGCGCTCATGATCTTTCCAAATTCGCCTGCACCACTACCATCTTCGCCCAAAATTTGCTCAGCACTGGAAAGGATTGGTGCATCAACGACACCTGGAATGACTGTGCTTGAACCAAGGAGCCAGAGACCGAAGGTGAAGACCGAAGATAATTTCGACACTCCGGCAAGACGAGCATAGCCTTCGCCAATAAGCGAGACAGGCTGAGGAAGCCACGGTCGTGCCCATGGTCGCTGGCTGGGCGGCGCCAGAGGCAGAGAGGATGGGTAGTATAAGGTGATGGCCAACGTGTCCAGTTGAAAAGCCTTCTCTCCAGTCGCCTTCAGTATCGCATCATGGATGGTTCTCTTTTGGACCTCTGTCTCAACATCCAGTATGCCAACCTCATGGGGTCCGGTATAAGGCGGAAGCGGCGAGGTGATTGGGGTCAAGCTAAAGAACAAAAACCAGAAAAGTACGCCCGCAGATGTGATGAACAAAAGACGCCGCGGTGTGAGGCGTGAAGGCCTGGGTACAAAGCGGGCAGGCCCGGGTACAAAGCGGCCCATCCGGAAGGCCATGATGCGCGGCTTGTATTGCAGTCTACCAAGGAACTTGAGAGGGCGTGCAAGGTCTAATGAAGGGCGCAAACTGTGACCAGAAGCGATATTTGGGGTTCCAGATATATCAAGTAGTAGGTGCGGTCCACATGGCAATTGTGGCGTATGAAAGCAGAGTGTCGCGTCGCGAAAGTGTTGGCCACTGATGACGTATGCGACATCGGAGATAAGACCGCCCAGATGCAGCACTCAACTAGTTGACACTTAGATCTTTCTGACACTCACGACACACGTCTTTGAGAAGCTGAACGACATCCCGCCGGCTACCTTACTAAGTGTTCCGCTATCTTTGAATACGACCTATCGATCCTAATCTGTCGAAAGTTGGGTCGATTGTTGATGACAAGAGCCGATGTCTCCGTAAGGTTTGCAGTGCGACACGTCCATTTCTTCCAGGATTGCGTCAAACCCTTAACTTATTAGGTGGAAAGGAATTTCGATAAGAGTGAGTTGCGCAGAGACGGGTCTACTAGCGAGGATGAAGATACGAGCCTGACTTGAATAACGCAAAGAAAGCACGACTGCAAGCTCGTAATGCGGTCTAGTATTCGAGCAGACATTACAACGGAGTCCCCATCAATGTTATAATCCTGGAAGGCTGTCATGAAGGGTTGGCGTACAGATGTGGCCGGTGCGACATGCTGTGTTGGCAGGTCATTGAGTATCAATCGCAGCGACTCCACCACCATACTGCGGCACAGCTGCGCGGCCTCAATGTTTGGATCCTCATTGTTGGTTTCCAGCAGCTTCCATCCCATGTAAAATCAGTCAGCACTCATTGCTTAATCGTTACAAACTAATGTATAACCATCGCACAGAAGCTGCTTCAAGCTGGACCGATATCCAAATCGACACTAAGGCCAGCTGGAAGTTAGAGAGACATACAGAAGTTGTTGGAACTGGCGCGATCGTCATGGTTGCCCTGGGTCAAGACAACTCATCAGATGCAATGCAAGTCAAGGTACTTACTCTGCTGGAGATGGACTCTGAGAATGCAGCAGCTGTCGATCAAAAGAGTAACCGGCGAAGTCCTTACACCTCGCATAGGCTGAATGAATGCCTCAGGAAGCCTCACGAACGTTCTACCGCACATGAAACAGCATCTCGAACGACATTCAGGCTAGTCGTTCCGTCTCTTTGTGGACGAGCACCGCGCTTCTACCCTCGATTCGTCACAATGTCATCCTGAAGTCGCTTACACGTGCATATGCATGCGCACGCTTACTGATGCCTGCGGAGCACATAAAACACAGGTCCCATGTAAGAGCACAACCGACTTCGCTTCGAGCACGTTCAGCGGCACGGGTAATTCCAAACGACCTCTCTATTACCCGAGCCACACACTCTCTACGCCTTGGCCCATAGCAGGACCTATAACGAACGTCCCGCTCCGTGTGTATGCCCTGGTAGTTGACTTGCATGTGGCTGGGGTCTCTGAAGACCTTTACCCGGACGATCGTCTTCGGTTCGGTATCGCTATGGACTTGCGCGCATTTCATTCCGGGGTTCGGATGGAGGACGATGTGGTTCCTGCATTTGCAATCTGTTGGTATTAGGCGCGGTTGGTTGCGCATAGAGCGGCAGTATAGGTAGAGGACCGGATCGAGTCTATGCTCCGGTGAGCAGAAGTTCGTCAGTACTCACCTTCAAAATGGATGCTTTGGTGGAGCTGCCATGTGGATAGAGTGGATCGTTCCCGGACTGCTTCCTATTTCAGTATCCTTACTATTACCGCCCCAACATTAAGGACATGGTATTTGTCAGATCAGTATGTGCGCTTTGCTGCTCGCCTCCCCAGTTTCTGCGATACGCGGGTGCATAGGCGAACAGAGTGCAGGGTAAAAACCCTTGACGCCGCGGTCATCGTAACCATTTTTAACATGCTTTCCCAAACGGTCGTGTGTCCGCGGTGGACTGACTATCTGATCGATCTGATGGCTTCCAAAACCGTCAAAGGTCCTTAGAGGGCTAGACGCCGGTGACCCACCAACAGCTAAGTCACCTCCGATACCAACACAAAAATCTCCACTGCATGTGTCTGTCGTTAGTCATTCGGTACCACGACACCGGTCTCTTTGGGCGACTTCATTGCGAAAAGCCCGTCTCGAGGCATCGGCCCCGTAACCAATTGAGACGGGAAACCCACTTGTTTACATCCCCTTTAGGACGACGCGCTGCGTCTCGCCACATGCGCCTATACGCTGCAGCCGCCAACATTAATTGCGGCGTTGCGTCAATCTGCACCATTTCGTAGCCAAATGAGTATCTGGGTAACACGGCATAGATAGAAAGCACGCGACAAAAGGCTGGAGAACGGGTCCCGTTGCGCAGTTCACGTTAGACCAGTTCAAACCCATGCTCCATCAGGGGAACAGGTGTTGAACTATCCGGACTACACTGCACGTCTTCTCGCGGCTATGCGAAACCCTCGTGTTGCTCATTCAGGCTTGCGCGCGTTCATATTGATGACGTGACGTCGCGTCGCGCTCAAGTGACGGTATTGCTTCCAAGGTTTTCCCTGAGTTCCCGTCCAACCTGCATGTACTACGCCAATGGCGCGGGCGGACAAGCTCATGCAGGGCGGGCCTGCGAATCCGATGGAGAGCTGCGGCGCGGATCGTAAGGGTCGGATCTGTGGATCGTCGAAACGGTGGCGACGAAATCACAGGGAGTTGTGTATGTCAGGGTGACGCACCATGTACGTACGTGGTCCAGCGCAGCTGAGTATGGGCAAGTAACAGGCAGGAGCGTTGAATAGCACAAATGTAGAAGTGTTGAAATGTTTGATTTGATTTGTACTGCAACGCTCGCAAGCATCTTTCAAAAAGAGAGCAAGATCGACTGTGACAACTGTCGAGTGTGATGATTCCAAAAACAGCTAGTAATTACTTCTCGCGCTCTTTGCGAAAGTTTCCTCTCCTCTGTAACATAGGAGATAATTTGTGCGCGGATATGGCAAGATAGGTCTATGTAATGAGACAAAGGTGCGCCGAAAAATGCATGCAAGCGAGCTGGTGAAAAGCTGACGCAAAGGAACCCGAAATGCGCAAAACTAAAAAGAGACCTTCCGACTTTTAGTCTTCCGTCAATGATGGGACTGCTAGTGATATGTAAGATGGGAGAGAACATGACTCGTCAATATGTACATCGAATGCAATTGTGTGTCGTTGATAGCGTGACATGAAGCATAGCCAGCCATGCTTCATGAGCCTCCTGGGCTTCGATTCAGGGACGCGGGGTGGATGGAGTTATTATTGTGTGCGTCGTGGGTGAGGTCGCTGATGGTCATGGCTTGATTTACATCTGCGAAGTATTTTATATGTTGCGTGGGGGTGTCGGGAAGAGAGACAACATAGGGGAGCGAGACTGCGCGGTGGTCGCTGCGCGGTTACGTGGCTTGGTTGGCTGATCCTCCTTCGGAGCAGAGACGGAAAGGAACTTGGCGGCACCTTCAGACAGGGCGGGTTTGTGCTGGCGCGCTGGTGCACGGGTGGAACGCTGCGACCCTTGGCGCGCAAGGTCGAGCGACGACTTGAGCTCCTCTTCGACAGTAGAGTGATTGGCACGCTGTGAGCCACGTCGAGCCAAATCAAGCGAGGCTCTGAGCTCGGTCTCAATGGAGCTGCGAGATGGCTCCTCATCTTGAGGCGCTTCGTCGTCTGAAGCGAAGAATGTTCGCCCTTCCAGGGTACGCCCTGGTGGCGTAATGTCATCGTCCTCTTTGTCTTCGTTAAGGAACGCAATCTGCTCTGAAAACTGATCAGCTGCAAGACTGAAGCCAAGCGACTTGCGGCTACGACGGGATGGAATCAGCTCTGGAACACTGCCGGCAGAGCTTGCCGAGCGCCTCACAGGGGAGCTCCAAAGACCGCAGCTCTGAGAAGAGGACATGAGGCTGCTGTCATAAGAGCTTCGCCTACTTAGTCGGACGTGACTGCTACGCGCCGAGCTCGTCGTGCTTCGACCGGCGTCGAGCATTGGAAAGTGCCGGTCGGACGCGGCGTACTCGTCAAGCAAGTCCTCATATGTGACTTCTCGTGTATCCTTGTATTCCTGCGGGACAAGAAGGGACGGGCTTAGCATGAAGCCAGTGTCGCCACTGAAACGGTTGGCATGGAAGAATCCTGAGGGTGTCGGTGGCAGGCCAGTGCTGAGGGTGGATGTGGATATCGCAGATGTCGGAACCAGTTCTGGCACACTCGATGTGCTGGGAACCAGCAAAGATGAGCGGAAATTGTCAGAGGCGAAACGCTCTCGATCAGCGGAAGTGATTCTGGAGTTGCGACGATTGGCTTGCTCAGCAGAAGGAGTGTCGCAACAGCGAACACCGTCATCAGATACTCGATCCCATTCGAAGTCACAGTCAGCTTCTAGAGCGTTGTCGTAGATATAGTCGACATCTTCTTCCCATGACTCCTCTATTGCGCGCCATGTGTTTGACTGGCGACGCTGATAAGGTTTTCGAATAGACATCCTCCTCGGCATGCCAAATGAGCCCAGCGTGTCAGACATTTGCGATGAGGGTCGTGAAGCCGAAGGCTCTGCCCTTGGTGAAGCAGGAGACTGACCTCTACCCTGTGATCTAGAGGTAACGGGAGATCGCGGATTTTGAAAGGAAAACGATCCAAAGTAAGGCGATCTCGGCGAAGTCGGGGACTTCATTGGGGGCTGTGGTGCAGGTCTTGGGCTGACGAATCTTTCTGGTTCCTCGACAACATCTGCGAGACTAGGACTGAAGGATGGCGGTGTGGTTGCGTGAATGGCTGAATCATCAGGCGTCGTGACTGCATGGCCAAAGTACGAATCTTCTGATATCTCAGGTAGTACGTCCGGGGTGGACACAGCAGAGAGAGCAAATGAGTCCCAGATACCCGACTCTCGCTTCGACCGCGACAACCTACGCGGACCAGAAGCAGGCTCTTCGTACGCGAACTCAGGTGTACCGAAGGCGGGTCCCAAGGGAAGATGAGGCGACTGTATCGACGATGTGTGCGTATGTTTCCGAGGGCTAGGTTGGGAGAAGCTCTCTATAGATCGGGCTAGGCGAAGGGGTCGTCGCGATATTGGGAAGTGGGGGACAGTTTCGGAATCGTGACGAGGTTCTGGGCTGCGAGGGGGAGATGTGAAGCCTAGAGCAGACGTGGATCTCTCTTCTCCATTTGCCAAGTTTTCAGAGGAGAAGTTCCTAAAATGGACGTCATCGGATGGTGTGACGGGCAACTGCTGTTCGAGAGCAGCTATTTGATGTCGGTCGGTGTGAGAAAGGTGCTGAAAGTCGAACGGGCTCGAGATACGGCTAATCAGACTCGTACCTATTGTCACGATAAGCAGAGGGCCTTGGATCAGGGAAGACAATTACTTACTAGCATCCTCGCTTCTTTTGCCCTTCCGTAAGATTGATGATCGTCTTTCGCTGACGTCCCCTTCGAACTCATCGACGTTTATCATGGGCGTCTCGCTCAGCCTCTTGCCCTTCTTCCCGCGGAACAACGACCTCCTAGATCCGGTAGACTCTTTATGACTCTTGTTGCTGGTGTGTCGATGTCCAGGTGGTGAGCCATGCCAAGAAGCTTCATGATCAGCCATCTCGGAATGGCTGAGAGACAACAGCGAAGGGGTCATAGATGTCGCAGTATTGCTTCTAGACCGTAGATTGAACACGGAACTTCGTCTGGCCGGATGGGCTCTGTGTTGCTCGGGCGAATGCATGCCAGGATGAGTTGAATGCGTGGAATACTGCTCTGACCAAAAGTCTGAACTTGCGGTAGGAATGGTAGGCCCAATGGCCTGAGAGTCGACGGATGACTGTCGAGACCGGGAGGCATCGGTTTTATGGAACGAAAACATGGCTTGGGAGCCTGAACGAACCCCAGAAAAATAAAGCCTAACGCAAGCAACGCGAACCGAGCAATGCTAGTATGGCGTGTGCAGGTCCCCACAAGTGGCCGGCAGATGTAGTTATGGCAACAACCATTGAAGTTGATGAGATGATCTGGGGAAACCTGTCGCGCGCACGCGAGCTCGGATGTTGTGAGTTCAGATGCCCGGGTTATACGCCTGCTGGAGGCGTTAGTGATGTATGCGAACGACTTGCCATTGGTACACAAGACCTGAGTTGGAGGGATCGAGGTTGGACGAGGCGAGATGACTGAACTTGGGCCAAGGCTAGGATCCAGGCGTGCCAAATGAGGGTAAAGGTATAGTTGAGATGCAATAGCAACCAAAGTAATATATGCGTACCTGGTCAAGTAGACAACTTATTTGCAGGGGAGGAGAGAACGTAAGAGCCTGAACACGGACCACTGCAGGGCAACGGCTGATGAAGGGGTTCTGCCCTCCGTGTGGGAATAACACGAGGGTGCGGTCAAGGAGTTAGGGTCGAGTAAAGGTTGGCGAACTGCACAGACCGAAGTGAGACAAGCGGTGGTTGCGAATGAGAGGGAGTGGTGGACGGTCCAGGTAGCCGAGCAAAGATTCGAGTAAGGATTGTAGTTGCTGGAGAGCGATCATTGGCATATGCCGCAGTATTGCATGCCGTGACACGGGAACAAGAAGCTTTGTGGCCGGCAAAGTAACAGCAAATGTAGGGATGATCTCACTATGTAGGAACATGGCCGGCTTGGACGAGCAGCGGAGAGTATGTGGAGAAGATGGAAGGTGCTCAGTGTGCTCCACCAGGTTAGTGACATCCAGGACGAGCCAGGACAGGGCTCGCTGCGCGCCAGCAGGAGAGAAAGACATGGGTATCTGCCGCTGAGCGACGCCGCCTGAGCATCTGTTAGTGGCTGGGGGATGACGGAAACAGGGGTGCAGGAGACGGGGGATGCCCGACTTCACAAGGCTCGTGAGCCACTGACGATGAGCGCGCAAGTGAACGCGGCCCGACAGGTCGGCCTGCGCAATATAACGTTGCAGGGGTAGATATAGCGGGCGCTGATTGGACGTTGCAGCGAAATAAACGGTTAAATCTGCTGCATATCTGCTCTGACCACGTCCAGGCCCGCTATGCTACGAGGCCGTGAGGTCCAATTTGCTTGGAATGTCGGCCGTATGTTGTTGTGCATCCGAGAGGATTTGGCAACGCGTCGAAAGACGTGTCGTGGCTGGGAAGGTAAGCTCTCGCTGCTGTGCTCGCGGACAACGAAGCTTTCGTAGCACAGCACGCGTAAAATTGTGCTGACAATACGAGCGGGTATCCTCAGTCGGGGAGAGTATGATTTTGGCAGCTACGTACAGCATTTGTGCTGTTAGTGCCGAATATGCCGGTTCGCGATTTCAGGCGGGCACGGCGCAAATGCGCGCAGGGTTAGGCCTGGTGCTGGGGGCACATGGGTATGCATAAGGCCTAAGCATCAACATGTCTGCCACTTTGGACTGGATCTGTGGCTAAGCTTGTCGACAAGAAGCGCAACTCTAAGTATTGACGCATGTCGTCGTCGTGTGCTGGCGCGGAACAATCAAACTGTCAGAAAGGGATCGCGATAAGCGTCCGAGCAGAAGACGAGAGGCTAGAGCATCGTCCCATCTGCAGATCTTCGCTCGTGAGACGGCGGAACCTGAAACAACCGAAGAGAGCCCCTACCATGGCCGACGATGTGTCCAAGGACTCGATACCCCGCCTCACTCAGACGTCTCAATCTACACAGGGCTCGTGGGCGGATCGATCTGAAATCGCGAACAGCCCTCGTCGAGGTCAAAGTCCATGTGGTGATGTCTCGGGCCCGGTAAGTTCCAAACATGTTTCAGAGCCCCACGACAGCGATGACCGGGTGCTGGCTATCGTGAGTTGTGAGACCCCTCTGATGTGCCTTCCTGGCTGTCCCCAAGAGACTCAGCATGCACAGAGCGCCACCTTGGCGCAGTCGCACTGCCAGCGTAGCATAGCCTTGAGCTTGCGACGGTTCTGGGTACGGCGGTGTTGTAACACGGTCCTTCTGCTCGTATCATGCTGTGATGCAGTCGCGTACAACAGCAGTAAGGGCTGTAGGCCCTCGCATCAGCCGCTGTACCACGGCTCCATCCAAGATTTCCACAAACATGTGTGACGAGCGCCTATCTCTACGCTTTCTTCTTCTTCGGAAATGCGCCTGTAATGAGATCCAATACTTGAGGCGTGAGCCGTGTGGGGGTGGTGGGCCGTCAGCTACTACACCAGCTGCATGGACGCAATGTGAGCACACCGACTGATGTCAAAATGTCCGATGATGGTGTTACCGTCGTTGAGGTTCTTGTGCAGATGCATGAGGTAGCCGGTCGTCGGCCTGTGATTTCCCCGAGGCTGGAGGTGAAAGCGTGCTCACGTGTGTTGTTGTGCCAAGGCTGCCTACCTCAGTAGGCCCATGGACTGGAAAGAACGCCCGCAGGTGCTCGGGAACATCCTCCACCATCACCACAGCTGTGCACACGACTGTGCACGCCAACTCCCACCGACGCCGGAGCTGAACACGTCTCTAGTCTCGATAGTCCCAGTGGTTCCTGGCCGCTGCGTGGTTCCCCTTGTTCCTGCAGTGGTCGCTGGCGGCTGGCCACAGATCGGCGAGAACTGCTCGGTACCTCCACCTTGCTGCTGCTCCCACGCACCGGCGGCCCACGTCTTACGCACCACACCTCTGCGCTCCAACGAGCTGCTCCTATCAGTCGCCTCCCCGTTGTGTAGATGACGTTGGCTGCATAACAACTGCGCTACTCCTCACGAGAACCCCTCTAGCGGGCTCCTATGTGCTAGGCTCGGCGCCCGAACCTCCGGACACAATCTTCACCGGTGTATCCACACGCCCAGGTGGCTATCCATGCGCCGTAGTCCGCTTTCATGGAGACCGTTTGCACACAGGAATTACCTCATCGAGTCCAATTATAGGTGTTCGTCTTCGCTCCACTTTCTATTCGTTTCGAGGCATTGGGCAGTGAATTCGAGCCTCTCCAGGAACATGCTGGCACTGCCAAAGATCAATGACGGTACAACTCGTACCTCTTCTGCGACGTGTTCAGGTTTGCATCTTCCGGAGGTCTGTCCATGCTAGAACCTTGTTTCCTGTACCTGCAGGTCGCAATTCCTGCCGTCTAACCCTTTTCGTCCCACCGGCAGACTTTAGCTGAGCCCCACCTAGATGTCTTCCCCAATTCAACTTTAACTAGGGCAATTTGCAAGCTGAAGAACATCTGCTACAAAGCCGAATGCGGGTTCAACAAAGCCGATGCACACAGCAACTCGGAAGCCCTCCGGATCCGCCCTCGCTAGGCTTTATACTTTGGTTTCACCATTAAGGCGTACGGGATGCAACGGCTATTGACAGCGGTAGCCACGGTCTCGCTGTACTGAAATTCCAACAACTGTAGGAGATCGACCCGGAACCTTAGGCTTTCCCTGACGGTATCGCGTTTCATATTTGCCTGTAACGTCTGGAGCCGGTTCTTGAAAGACCTTGAAAGATGATTCAGCAACTCTTGTTTCATGTTCAATGTTTTAGACCATCTGTACCAATGTTTCTTTTACAACTGCTGATGTGGTCTGT